AATATTTTGTTAATATTTAAGTATATATTCATGGTAAAAGACTGAGATGATGAAAAGATGAATCGATCTTTTTTCAGGTGTTAGACGTGCCTTTGCCAGCCCAACACGGGCTCCTGCGCCACCCAGTGGACAGCCGAGGTCAGTACAGCGGCTTTCACACGGGGGCGCTATTCTCCTGGGTAACACAAGAGCTGAACAGGGATCCTGCAGCTTGGGTGTTGCTCCAAACCGAGTAGTTGAATAATCGATTAAAATATGTTCTCAAATGGAAATATCTATAGGGTTTTTTCCTTATGATCTTTCCCTGATTAAGATTAAGTTTTTTTATCGATATAGGTACCTGTAAGATACCCAGACCATGAGACAAAAGGAAATTAAAAGGTTCAGCTAACCAGGGATAGGAAGACCTTTACACAGAGGGCGGCGGGTGTCTGGATCAGACGTCCTGGCTGCAGTGCTGGAGCAGTTTCAGGGTGACCTTTCCAGGGCGAGGCGGCCAGCTGGGACCCCCTGGGCAGTCAAATTGGAGGAATGGTGGGAGCCGAGGGTTGATGGGACACCGCTGAGCTGTGACCCTTGTTGCTGTCGGGGCGCAGGCGCCCGGCCGACACGAGTCCAGCTGGCGGCTCCAGCCGTGGGCAGTGTGGGCGTAGAGCACACCAGCCACCCGCCTGCAAGACTGGACTCCTGCGGATCGGCCGCTCACTGCTGCTGGGGTGCGACTTACCCACCTCGTCCCGAAACCACGCACACCGGGCGACGGGCTGACTTACAGCAGCAACGCCAGACTGGAACTGGTGAACAGACCAATATCACCAGGGCAGTGTAATAAAACAACAGCTCACTTGTTAATTAAAAAGATACTTTTAATGAAAAAAAAAACCATTAACAACCAACCAAGGATGATATGAATACGGCCCGGCCAACAACACTTCTGACCAGTAACACTTAAAAACTGCCCAAGTCACAAACTGCACTTCACTCCCATTAACAGGGCAGACAGCTGAATGTACGTGGACTGGGGACAAGGGGAGAGGAAGAGGCAGGGACAGGGGACAGGGGACAGGGGGAGAGGAAGAGGCAGGGACAAGGGGAGAGGAAGGGCAGGGACAGGTAACAGGGGGAGGGGACAAGGGGACAGATACAGGTGGAGATAAATCATTTTTCAGGACATTCAGGCACCATCATCTATGAATCCCAAAGCAGTGATGCCAAGTGAGCAGAGAGACCCAAATACAAATCTGTTAACACAGATGAACCTGTTAACACAGGGACCCTTCTATGCTTGGAGAGGCAGGGCCATCCCTGACACTCCTGGCACAGAGAGGGACTGCGGCACGACTGCCTGTCCCGAGTGGACAGGGCGGACTGGGCTGGGGTTTCCGAGTCGGCCTGGTGTGTTGGCACCGTCCCGAACCCTTACGCAGATACAGCAGCGGAGAGAGACCGCGCCGATCAGAGCGCCGGGCACAGGCTGGCCCCTGGCAGGTTCCGTGCACCCAGGTGCCCAGGGCCCGCGCTGCTGCAGGGCAGGCTGGGGGGCGCCACCGCAGCGGGGAACCCCCCCCTCCCCCTTACCACAGGAGAGACCGCGGCAGAAGAGCATGCAGAAATCAACAAGAAAAAAACAGGCTTCAAAACCACAAAGTGTTAAATGAGGGTACAGGCTCAGGCAACTAAAAACTAGGACATGAAACTGTCACAACAAGCAGCTGAAACACCTGACCTCCCCTGGGGAGCAGATGTTCACAGCCACCTCAGCACCTCCTCCAACCAGCAACAGCAGGAGCTCAGGGATATGAGCGCAGGACAGAAAACAAGAGGCACTTTACACAGAGAGCTGTGGGAGTCTTGAACCAGCTCCCTAAACGGGTCTCTGGAGCCGATTCTGTGGAGCCCTTTACAGATCAGGCTGACGGGACTCTTGGGTCATTGAGCTTCTTGCAGCCAGACGAACAGGAGGGGTCACAAGGCCCCCTCCCCTCCTGAACTGCTGCTGTCCTAACAGGCTTCCTGACCGACACACTAGGCAAGTGTTCAGGCAGCTTCGCATAACAGGCTACGCAGACAGAGGATCGTTAAGGATTCACCCCTCGTTAAAGTCTTTAATTAACAGACTGACATTCTTCAGTCTGCAGCCATTAACCAAAAACAAGCAAAATTTATTACAGATTTATTTCACTGTTTATTAACTGAGCATTACACAATGCCATATGTGATCAATTGCCCTAGCCACCAACCCAAAACAGAAGGCACGTCTTTACACTAAGAGCAGTAGGAGTCTGGAACAAGCTGCCCAGATACTCTTAAAGTTTGCACCCAGGGGACCCATCAAGAAGCAGGTACATCAGGTCCTGGGATCGCTCAGCCTAACTGGCGCAGGGAGCGAGGTGATCCGACAGGCCCCTGCTGGCCGTAGCCTCTGATGCTCCACTTTGTCCCAGCATGCCCCTGGGAGCCTGTGTGTACAGAAGTCGGGCATGTGCTGTTAGTCTCATTGGACAGTTCCCAGCCTTCACTGGCCTCGCCAGCCCCCACCATCACTTAACACAGCTACTTGTGTTTAACACGCTGTCCCCAGTGGACCTGGCTCGCCCACGCCACAGCGACACTGCTTGAAATCACACTTGATCAGAACGGTGACCGTGGTTTTAATCCTTCATGAGTTTTTATTTATGTAATCTTGGTCACATCACCAGCTGAAACACAAGGCAGCAAAGATACCCCCAGGAAACAGGATCACTTGGAGACGCCTCAGGATCTCCCCTCCTCCCACTGCACCCCCATACTGCAACAGAGGGGTGTCTGCCCTCCCATCACACTCCCAGAAACCTCCAGGTCACATCGCCATTTCATCTTCTTCACTTCCGTGTTGCAAACCATACCAACCTCCCCTCCTCGCTCCAGAACACCCCTCCCACTTCTCCACCTGACACTCCCTCAGAGCCCAGACCTGGGCCCATAAAGACACACTCATGCGCGCGCGCACACACGCACACACACACGCACGCGCGGTCAAACCTTCATTGTAAACAGAGAGAGAACAATTACCCCCCCCCCACCCACCCATCCCAGAACTCAGCCCCCGCCCCTCCTGCCGGTCTGCAGAGGGACAGAGCAGATGCCCACCGCCATGAGACCCCACCTGCCCCCACAGGGAGAGGGAGGGTGATCCCCCCACCTCCCCGAACCCCACACCGGGGCGCAGGGCGATGGCGGAGAGGGGCACAGCAGCTAGGAGCTGGACTCTGTCCGGTCTGCCCCCACACAGGGCTCCCTTTATTGTACAAGGCAGCAGGAGGAAGAGGAAGGAGGAGTGGTGCACGTAAACAAGCGGAGAGAAAGTGGGGGTCAGCGACTGCTCCCCCTCCAACACCCCCAAACGCTCGCTGGGGGCAAGTCGGTCAGTCCGTCTCTCTCCGGCTGTATTATCTCTTGGCGCGCACAAAATACAAGGCGTTGGTTTTGGGGTAATACTTCACGTTCTGCTTCTTGTCCATCAGCCCCCCAAAAATGATCAGCTCTCCCCTGCCCTGGACGACCGTGTGAAGGCTGGTCTCAGGGGGCCCCACCACCGAGCTGCTCCCACCCCCGAAAACCTTCCAGGCCACCATCCCGCTCTCCTTGGCCCGGGAAATGTCCAGGACGTACATCTGCATGGGCTTGCAGTTGAGGCTCTGGTACAGCGGCTTGCCCACGTTGAGCGACTGGGGTGGGTGGTGGCCCAGCCGCCGCGCGATTGGAGGGATGGAGTGTCCGTCGACCGCGGCCGGGGGCGGGGCAGGAGGGGGCGGGCTGGAGGCCGTGGCCACGCCCCCATGCGGAGAGGAAGAGGAAGAGGAAGGAGCCGTGGAGAGGGCCTTGACGGCCTCCAGGCCCCTCCGCAGCGCGCCGGGGGACACCGCGCCCGGGGGCGTCCGCGCCGCGCTCTGGGGCGGCGGCGTGTGCAGCCCGTTGGTCTGCTCGGGGGTGGGGCACTCTGGGAGCGCCGGCTTGGGATCCCAGCCGTAGTCCAGCGCCCGCGGGTGGGCGTCGGTGCCAGTCCTGCTCCGAAACTCGTATCCCTCCACCGCGCTGGGAGTCCCCGGCGAGCCGGCCTGCGCCGGGCTGCC